CGGCGGATGTCGTTTATCGGGACGCCATATTGGTAAGATCAGACCCAGTCCCGCCTACTTCTGCTTCAGAAGTAAAACGCTCCTTTAGATGTCTAGATCTAGAAACTTTAAAACGTCCCTGTTGGGCAGAAATATCCAGCTCAGATGTAAATTAGCATTTAGCACTAAACAGCTAAAGCTGGTATAAAAAAATCCATCAATCTTTGACTGTTTCATATATTGATTACAAAAGCAGTTTTTTAAATGTCTTTTCTTCCAAATTGAACTCCTTTTTACAGGTTAAAAATTAAAAAGATTTGGGGTTAGCGTTTAAAACGGTGACCGCTTCTGTCTTGGTGCAGGATGGCGCCCGAAGTGGCCGCTGTGGAGATTAAAGGCGGCTACAACGAGCTGTGTGACATCTGGTCTGTGGGCATCACGGCCATCGAGCTGGCCGAGCTGCAGCCTCCCATGTTCGACGTCCACCCGCTCCGGTAAGCGTCCGAACAGCCTGAGCTGTTTTAAATCCATCCCAGGTTTTCTTTATTTCATTGTTATCATAAACTGAATTTACACTAAAGTACCAATTGCTTTCCTTTTTGGTTTTCACCTTTAATGAAGGAAACATTCTGATTTTGTGATGTTTAATCATCACTGAGCTGTAAAAGTAGTTCTAGTAAGGTTCTAGTAAAGTGTGAGTCCCTCTGAAGAGCTGGCAGGTTAAAGTGCATCTCTGCTGCAGCACCTTGCAGAGCAGGGAAGCTGAAAAAGCCTTCAGTGAGTTCAGAGGAAGTCACTGATGTTACAGATAAAACGTTACAGCCGATGTTCATCAGGTGTGAAGTCATCGAGTCCAGCTCATGTGTTCAGTTTATATTAGATCGATTTAGATCAATTTAGAGTTCAAATGTAACCTAAATGCTGCATCTAACCTAGTTAGCATGTATAACAAACTGATATTCATAGCACAGACTCCAGAGAGAACCAGTCTGAGCAAAGGCGTGAGACATTTCCTTTGGTTTGACTTGCCTTTCTCCTGCAGGGTGCTGTTTCTCATGTCCAAGAGCGGCTACCAGCCCCCCAAACTGAAGGATAAGTCAAAATGGTAAATGAAACTTCAGTTATATTAGATCGGTTAATCTATGACGTATTTCATGCTCTGAAAAGCTGCTTAGTTGCTGCATGTTTCGGTATATCATATTAAAAATGGACATTATATTCCACCTGTGCTTGTCAGACTAATTAGCATCTGTTTAATTAAAGCTTTTGTAATTCTGTAGTTAAACGCTAATTAATCAGAAATAGGTGCATGTGTGTATTTCTGATCTGTCTGTAAATGGATGATTACAGGTCGTCCATGTTTTACAACTTTGTGAAGGCCATGTTGGTGAGGAACCCAAAGAAGAGACCCAGTGCCTCCAAGTTGCTCTCAGTAAGAACAACCAACACAGATGAGTTTGTGAAACACGAAAAATGTTAGAAGATCTTTAAAAAACTGGGACAGGCTCAGCAAATGGCTGGATTGATGATTTTCA